GTACCAAATTACACAATGATTAAATGGGAAGCCAGCATCAAACCCAGAGCTTATTTATAAACCTTCTAAGATGCGTGACTCTGCTGTTTTTAATGCAGTCAAACCAATGTTAAAAATTGCAGCTCCTCCAATAGACCATATAAAGTATATAAATAAAAACAAGTTTCTGTACAAGGGCGCATGAAACAGACTTTGTACTCAAACTACCTATATCAATAACTAGCTTTTATATCGCTTCTTGGCCTTTTGGCTAAGGTAAAGTGAAATAACTAACTTTTATAACACCCGTGCACTTTTCCAAAGCCATTTGTATCTATTGCATTTCACATTTTATCCTTACTTTAATTTTGTGCTTAGATAAATGCTAACATACATGGGGAAATAAAGTTCAAAAAGGTTATTTCATAAAATACGGTAAAACTGAACTATAGCGGTAGTGTCCAGGCTACAGTTAGTTGCTGACTCCATAAGAATCTGATTAATTGGAGGGTAACCAGCTCTTCCTGGTTTGCCTGGGACTTTCCTGATTTCTAGTCCTGAAAATCTTGTGTCCTAGGAAACTCTGCTGTCTCTGGCAAACCTGTGTGGTTGGTCATGCTAATTAATGTTAACACTTTGTGGCAAATTGGGGGTTATAGGGGGATGTCCATATAAAATGTAAGACACCCAGTTAAAATTGAATTTAAGTTAATTAAATCTGGCAGTCTTAAGTAGGAGTGCAGGGGTATTTCAGTGTGTAAGAAGTACACTTTGTATATGGACCTTGGACTTCACACATTTATCAACTTAAGAGAGCAACATCTGGCAGTTTCCTTTTGTCTGGGTTCTTGGCTCTTGTTCTTTCAGCTGTGTGGACAGGATGCAAGAGATCAGGGTGAAAAAGTGAAAACAGATTGTGTCCAATGCATATAAGCTGAGATAAGTGTTTGTGTGGGTGGGTGGTGAAGGTAGCTGGAAGCAGTTCTTATAGTTCTCTTTATTTGTCTGGAAACCAGATCTGTGCTGTCTCCTCTTTGTTGCATCAATCTGTCAAACATCACATTCTCTCAGACAATCTATAATGTCTTTAGACTGCATGTTAAAAAGTATTTTTTGTTGTGATTGAAAAATGAAAAGGAGGCCAGATGAGGTGGCACATCTTCCTACTTCAGAGGCAGAGATGGGAGGATTTCTTGATCTCAGAAATTTGAGGCAGCCTGGACAGCAAAGCAAGACCTCATCTCTCTTAAAAAAGAAAAAAAAGAGGGGGCGGCGCCTGTGGCTCCCATATACCGAGGGTGGCTGGTTCCAACCTGGCCTGGCCAAATTGCTGTGATGGGCGCCTGTAGTCCCAGCTACTTGGGAGGCTGAGGCAAGAGAATCCCTAAACCGAAGAGCTGGAGGTTGATGTGAGCTGTGACACCACAGCACTCTACCCAGGGTGACAGAATGGAACTCTGTCTCTTAAAAAAAGAAAAAAAGAGAAATAAAAAAATTTTCCCATCTTCTTCTTGCATCCGTTCATTAATTTACCATTGATAGAATCTAATCTGATTGGAGGCAGAATGTTTTTGAAATGGATCTTAGAAATCTTCTCCTTGAATGATTTTCTTTTTCTTTTTTTTAAGATCAGTTTACCCTTTCGATGGGTCATGACTCCTTAAAGTAAATTGGAAACTCAGAAGAGGTGAAAGGAAGATTGACAGATTTAACTGGTCAGGTTTACTTTTAAAGGTTATGTTCATTTTAACATTTGACAACATGAAAAATACCACTTTTTAAAATAATTTTTCTCATTCTCTACATTTTTCACAGCCCCTTTAGCAAACAGGATGCAATTGGCCAAATTCATTAACTTTACCTAATGTATCTAGACCACTTAGAAAAATGAAATGTGTTAACTGAACGTGGCTGGTGTATCTCGGCTCCTTTGGCTCCACACTCTCCTGCTTCATTGGTCTCCTCAGTGGGATTGTCCTCTGCTCAGTCCCCCCGACGTTTTCTGTCCTGGACTCCATCTTTTCCCACTTGATCTCATCCTTCCTCTCATTATGGCTTCAGAATGAGTGCTTCTCGTTCTCTCAGCGTTAAGTTTATGTGGACTTAGATGACTCACAGGCTGCTTAAACCCTTATTTTCAAGACTGTATTCATTTCTTTTTCACCAACCATCCAGTCACTGGCTGATTATTTTAACCCTGTCTGTCTGTCTGGGTTGATGCCACAGCCATTTTTTCTTTTTGCATTGCCACTGCTCTAATTCGTGCCATAGTTCTGTTGAGTATTCAGAAAAAGAAACCGCCCTCGCTCTATGAGGCAGAAGAGATGTAGTTGGAAAGGATGGGAGGAACAGCTGTAACCTCTGCAGCAGCCTCGGAAGCTGGTGGCCTCACGTCCCTCTACCCTGGCCTCCTGATAGAGGAGGAAAGAATTATTTCAGTAGCCTTTTATCTAATTGCCTTATCTCTAGTTTCTGCTGCCTTCATAGTAACTAGGGTGAGATGATATCACATTGTGGTTTTGATTTAAATTTCTCTGATGACAATGATGTTGGGCATTTTTTTCGTATTCTTACTGGCCATTTGTATAAGACAGTTGGAATTTCTTAGGATTTTTTAGATGGGGAAATTTTAGAATCTCTCTCCAAGCTTGGGGAAGAGGGAATAAAACAAGGTTATAGGGAACTTGTCTCAAACTCCTGGCCTCAAGCAGTCCTCCCACGTTGGCTCCCAAAGTGCTAGTATTACTGGCTTGAGCCACCACGCCTGGCCATTTGGACATGATGGCACCTTTTCTTTTTATTTAGGTCATCTTTACTATCTCTCAACAATGTTTTATGCTTTTTAGGGTACAAGTTCTGTACTTTTTGTTATATCTTTTCCTAAGTATTGTTGTTTCTGAAGGTATTATAAATAGAATTGTTTTCCTGATTTCATTTTCTGATTATTCATTGCTGGAGTGTAGAATTACAGTTGTTTTTTTCTATATTCATCTTTAAAGGAATAAAAACTGGTTTTCTGATCATAACACTTGTGACACTAAATGTGGATTTTCTACACTATGCAATTCTCCAGTTCTCTGGACACCAACTGGGTATAATTTAATTCATTTCTTAGAATCATTACCGAGAGTTATCACAAAACTCACAGGTTAAGGGCTCGGTCTCACAAGCCCTTAACTTCAGAAACCAATTGTAAGTAGTGGGTCCCCATATTATGCACAATTCTGTCTGAATTATTTACAAATTGGTTTTTCACTACCTCCTTGTCAAGTGTAATTATTTTCCGTAATGAACTCAGGGGAATACTTTATTTACTATTACCAATTTATTATAAAGAATACAATTGAAGAGTTCAAATGAACAGGCAGATGAAGAGGTACCCAGGGTGAGGTCCAGAAGGGTCTGGAGGGCAGGAGCTTTTCTGCTCATGTGGAGGGGAGTGGGATGCCCTCTAGCACGTGGATGGTGCTGTAGGGTTTATGGAGGTTCTGTTACATGGGCATGATTGAGTAAATCATTGGCCATTGGTAATTAGCTCAATCACCACCGCTCTCCCCTCGTATGTTGGGAGATGAGGCTAAAAGTTCCAGCGCTCTAATCATTTGGTTGGTGCCTTTAGCAAGCAGCCCCCATTCTGTAAGAGTCACTTTAGTAAAAGTTTGGGTATGGTTGAAAGGGGCTTATTATTAAAAAGCAAAGAATTTTTCTTCTTAGTCTCATTATTCAAAAATCTAAAGGTTTTAGGAGCTCTGTGCCAGAAACGAGAGATGAAGACCAAAAATGTATTCCTTAGTATATCATGGTATTCACAGTCTTGTATCCTAGAAACTTGAACTGTTTGTAATGTTCTAGAAGATTTTTAGTGGATTCCTTGGGTTCTATATACACAGATATTCCTTGGGTTATTATTCATCATCTGTGAATATAGTTTTTTATCAAAATATTTTTATTGCAAAATACAAATGTGCAAAATTGAATTTCAAAGAAGTACTTAGATAAAATCATTCTCCTGGGTTATTAGGAGATGCATATTCTTTGTAACTCTCATGTCCTTGAAGTAGCAAGACTATTTGTTTTTTGTTTTGCCATTTTCCTTTGTAGAAACCTTCAGTGGCTTCTCATGACCTTTACGTTTAAACTCCAGTTGGTTAGTTTACCAGTGAGCGACACTGCATACTTCTTTCCCCAAGACAGGCACTTAACAGCCTCTCTCTTCCTCATGAGTCTCTGCCTACCCATACAGTAGAGCACCTTTCCAGCTTTGCTCAAGTCACTTTGTTTTCTTTGACCACATATTCTGTAGTACCCTGGAGACCAGTTTCAGCATTTATCACTACCTGGCACACTTACATGCGTGTGTATTTGCTTGTCTACCTCTCCCATTGAAAGTGTAGTGTAGTTTCCATAAAAGTGGGACTTAGGCTGTTTTATTCACCTTTTCAACGAATCTGATGAATGCAAAGTACAGAATCATCAAATTTTACTCCCTTCTTGCTTCACAATGTAACCTGCCTAAATTGAAAAATATCTAGAGCCCCAGTGGAACGAGAGTTTTATGTGTCTGCCAACTCCAGTTGGTTGTTGCTGCCTACGGTGAGGGGCTCACAGGGAAAGAATGCAGATTATCTAGCGGTGGCAGCCAGGGCCTGAGGGAGAAGCTTGTAGAACATTTGCCTAATGCAGTGAGATGCTAAAGAACAGGAAATGGATAAGTTTGGGGTCTCTTTTTTCTTCTTTTTCTGGCTTGCGTCCTCCTCCTGGGAGATGTTTGTAGGTACTCCGGGTTAGATTGGAAAGGCCACCTGTATAAGTGTGTTATGGAAACTTCTCTGCGTAATCCCATTATTAATAGATACGGTACAAACGACTCTCTTAGAATTATCAGGACATTGCAGGGGGCCGGTATACTAGCTTCTCTATGATTGGAAAAAAAGCAATTTGCTTATGTAATCTGAAGAATTTTTCTTAAAAGTTATTTTAAAATTATTTTGAACTAATAATTTTCTTTTTCTTCTTTCTAGATTCTTGCTGAAATCTGTTAATTCTACTTTTTGAGCACTTATGAATAACCACGTATCTTCAAAACCATCTACCATGAAGTTAAAACATACCATCAACCCCATTCTTTTATATTTCATACATTTTATAATATCACTTTATACTATTTTAACATACATTCCATTTTATTTTTTCTCTGAGTCAAGACAAGAAAAATCAAACAAAATTAAAGCAAAGCCTGTAAATGCCAAGCCTGAGTCTGCATACAGAGCTGTTAATAGTTTGGATGGTTTGGCCTCAGTATTATACCCTGGATGTGATACTCTAGATAAAGTTTTTATGTATGCGAAAAACAAATTTAAAAACAAAAGACTTTTGGGAACACGTGAAATTTTAAATGAGGAAGATGAAGTACAACCAAATGGAAAAATTTTTAAAAAGGTAAGGTCGTCTTTCATTGCCTTTGAACTCCCTCTGAACAAAAAATACACTCTTAAAAATGCTTGCAGAGGACAAGCACAGCTTGTTTCTGTTGGAATTTGTTGATGTTGCTCAAGAAATGGTATAGGAAGAGGACTGACTGTGCTCTAATCTCTTTCTGTACTTACCAGCACTGATTGGTTCTGAGTTTTTCAGAAAGACATTCAGAATTCATACTGGTGTGGAGTGCTTCTGAAGCTGCATGTCCCCAGGACTTGGGATAGAATGTCTGGCATGTATTGGTATGAAACCATGTTCTCTGGTTTCTAGAGGCACCTAGGTGCTTGAAATGGCTCTGGGTTTGGGGGTGTGACCTGCTGTTTTTGGTTTTGATATGGGTTGCAGTAAGTATCTAATGTCTTGGTAATTTGATTGTAGCAATTGTGTAGTTCTTAAATTTCTTTTCACAATATAGAGGTATCTGCATAGTTAGTTTGAAACAGAGATGACGTTCACAGAGAGCCTGGACTCCAAAGATTATAGGTTTGAATCTTGGCTGTGTCAGTTACTAGCTCTGTGGACTTGGAAAACTGATTTTTTTTTTTCCCCTTGTAGCCTTGGCTGGAATATAGTGGCACAATTATAGTTTACTGGAGCCTTGGCCTGCTGGGCTCAAGTTATCCTCCTGCCTCAGTCTCCTGAGTAGCTGGGACTACCGGCATGTGTCACCTGGCTAATTTTTTTATCTTTACTTTTGGTAAGGACATGGATTCACCATGTACTTGGAAAAGTTATTTAACAATTCTACCTCAGTTTCTTTCTTTCTTTGTAATATGGAGACACAAATGTCGCTGACACCTACCAGTATTATGAACCAAAATCTTAAGAACTTTATGTATATTACCTTCTTCAAGACTTACAGTAACCCTGTGGGTTAGTTTATTATCTATACTTTACAGATGACAGAATTGAAGCAAAGATAGGTAACTTATCCCAAGGACACCATGTTACCATGGCTAACAAGTGGTGGAACTTGGACCAGAACCTAGAACCTAGGCCTTCTGACTCCAGAATGCCTCATCATCAACTAATCACAGCTTGCAGAGTTCTTGGAAGGATTGAATTTATGCACACACTTGCATATTCCTTATTTTGCTAACTTAGAAAAAAACTGAATTTATTTTACTAAATTAACTTAAGATCTAGCTAGACATAATAGCACATTTCTAGAAATTGAAGTCATGCTGTTAAGTGGGTTTTATTCTTCTCTAGCCTATAGATTATAATTTGCAAATCATTTTTTCATAATGAAGTAAGCTTTTGTCATATCTAGTTAATGCTTTCTCGGTACACTATCCCTGAGTCTGTCTTTGAGAGATCTTTTACTTGAGAGATCTTTACTGAAAACACTGCATTTTTATGTACTTAAGTGTTCTCTGTGCTTCTCATAGTGTATCTAAAAGGCATTCATCTTTGTCTTTGGATCTAATATGCTATTTGAATTCAGAGTTTGAGTTCTCTTGCTTTTAGTCTAAGTCTTATTTTATAGGCAGTGTGACTTTTCTCCAGCGTCTCACATGTATCATAGGCATTCAACTAACGTGTCTTGTACTTTCAGTCGTCATTCAGTACATACAGCAGCAAACTCGTTCCTCATTATACAAAAGGGAGAAAATCTTGCATGGAGATATGAAATTTCTTCATAATTCATGTATCAGTATAATTAGGACAATATAAAACCCTAGAGCTGTCACAGATATTCCCCAAATGTGGCCAGATAGCACAGTGTGTACAGGAAGTAGGGTGCGCACACAGGAGAGCTTGTTTCTTCCCCCGTGTCTGAGTGTACACCACTCTGCCCTACGGGTCTTAATCATGGACCTTTGTATTCATTGATTATTTAACCAAGTAGGTGATACTTGAACTCACAGAATTTAAAAGGAGAGACAAACTGTTTTTAGTCAGCAACGTTTTCTGTTTCTAGTACATTATTATAAGGTTTTATTTAGCATAAGAAGTTTTAAAATTTCCATATGTCAAGAGATATGCCTACTATTAACATTATTCATCAAATTGGCATTTGTGGTCCATCAAACTTTGTTTAGAAGGCTGTATCCTGACTCTGATGTGGAAATGTGTTATATTTTTCTTATCTGAAATTAGGTTCATTGGGAAAGCAGAATTTTTAGGTTTTGTGTATAATAAATGACCATACATTTCCTATTGGCCTTAGCGTGTGGTTCTCCTGGAGGGCTGAGACTTGAGTCTCTGTTGGCCTTAGTGCGTGGTTCTGCTGGAGGGCTGAGACTTGAGTCTCTGTTGGCCTTAGTGCG